GGTGGCACGAAGGCCTTTTGGGTTTCAGGGTACAAGGGGCACCTTCCGTGGCAGCAGAATCCCCGGAAGGTGACACCTGTGGTCTCTGCAGGAGGTGGGCACAGGAAATCACTGTCCATGGCTCCACACAGGCACTCAGACAGATTTGCTTCCGGGTGCAAAGAAATCGCACACGTAGTTCTGTGTCCAGGTGGTGGCCTCAGTGAAGTGAAGGCTAAGGCACTGGCTGTGACTTCCCAGCAGGAGGGGCAGGGGAGGGTGGGGAGCAAGTGAGTCACAGTGCCTAGTGCTGATAGCAGGGAGCCAAGCCGGAGCCACCTCTGCTTCTGTTTCCTCCACCTCCCCAGGCCCAGCTGTTAGCTCCCTCTCTCAGGCTTCGACTTTGCAAACAGAACAGCGCAGGACCCACTCTGGTTTTGTGGGTGGGGACCCTCAACCCAAGGAGCCTGGCTTTGCCACAGCTGCTCCTGGCAACGCCAGGTCTTCCCGTGGCTGGGACCGGGCCCCTGCCTGGAGCTCCCACGCCTGGAGCTTCCCTGTGCCACGTGGCTTTGCTCTTTGAGACTCCTCATCGCGCCGGGTGGGCGGCCACAGGGACATGGCCTCTGCAACCCTCTTCTCGTGCCTACCCCCACCATCTAGATTGAGGTCACACATTGTCAGACCTGAGCACTGGGCCACCAGACACGCAGACTACTCTACACACCTCTAATGGTCTACTAAGCCCAGGGGGGGACCTCTTCAGACTTCTGTTTTCAGTATCTGCTCACAAAGCCGCCCCTGTCCCGTCCCCTGCTGAAGGTGCTGAGGGCTCACCCTTCCTCCTCCCATGACCGAACAGGAACCCAGAGAGGGGGGCAGAAGTCGTCTTTGGCTGTGTCCAGGTGTCTAAGTGTGGGGTTTTAATGCATCGAGAACCTGCAGGTGCCCGTCTCTGGCCTCTGATGGGCGAAGAGGGATTCCTTCCTTCCTTCTACCATGCAGCCTGTAAAAGGGACAGAATCTTGCATTTAAATTGTGTCAGTGCCCCTAGCTCACCCCCCCATTCGGCATAGTCAGCAAGATGCAGGGCAGCAGCCCCCCCAAGGGGAGGTATCCCCAAGAGGAGTGGAGCTGTAATGTGTGACCCAGCAGTGCACACCAGGCGGGATCTGCAGTGGCCCTGTTGCCTCTGCCTCATGCAGTGAGGCCCTGGCTGGCTTCTTTCCCTCTGGCTCAGGTAGCTCCAACCACTGAGTTGCTGGTCTGAAGGCCTGGACCCCTGGGACCCAAGCCCTCTCCTCTCCTACTCCTGCATTCAGGTGCCTTCTTGCTTGAGGCCAGACATACTCTGGGGGCTTCCTGTCAGAGACAACGGGGCACCAATCTTTCTCAAGCCAGCCAGTGTGAAATGTTTTGGTTCCCATATTCGCTATGATTTAGGTTTGGAGTACCCCTGGCTCAATAGCTGTGGTTTTCTGCCATTTCCTGAGATGTTTAAGGCAAACAAAAACAAAACAAGCAACCCAACATGAAACCACCTGGGTGGCCAGAGTCTGAAATCTGTGAGAAGAAAGGCTTTGCTAGGCATGGTAGGGCCCGCCTGAAATCCCAGGACAGGAGGCCGAGACAAGAGGATTGCCCAGACCTCGAGGCTAGCCTAGGCTACATAGTGATTCTCAAAAAACAGGAAGATGCGACTTCAGAGAAAAGGTGAAAGCTTGACTGCTACCCACACCCAGGAGAAGTTGTAAAACCTCCCTGAAGATGTTGGGAAATGCTTTTCAGTGAGAAGCCCTTTATGGACTCTAGCAATCCCCAACAGCAAAGGGTGCAGCCTCAGATGGAGAGGAAGTGAGCCTGCTGCCGCCACTCCTGTGTTTCACCTGTCTACCTGTCTGCTGGCAGTCTTTGTAAGAGTTATCACACCTGTAATCACAGCATTCAGGGAGGCTGAGGCAGGAGGGTTGCACACTGCAGCCCAGCCTGAGCAATTTAGTGACGTAGCAAAAAGCTGTCTCAGTAATGAAAAAAGTCTGGGGACATGGCTCCATGCCCAGGTCCTGAGCTCAGTCCCCAGCCTTGAAGAAATCTTATCAGCATCGGGCACCAAAGGGTACATTTCATCCCTGCTGCTGGGCATTGGGTCTCTGATTTCTGCCTAGCGCACTCCAGTTGTGGGCAGTCCCTGCCTGGCAGCCAACCCCTGTGAGCTGCAGTCACATCACGGCTGCAGTCACACCGGCTTTCAGGCTGTGTCCCGTCATGAGTGTCCTCTCTGCCCAGCATGTTTGTTTACAGGGCTGTCTTACTCTGTGTAGGAGCAACTTCTCTTTATGTAGTTAACACATCTTCAGAGTAAATCCACCCCTCCACATTTCTGTGGGTACCTTCTTCCTCCTTACCTTTCTTGGGCCATGAAGCCCAAATTGTGATGATTATTGTTTAAAAAATCAATCAGGTTTTGGCAAGTTAAAAAACACCTGAATGTATGGGAACACAGGTGTCCTATTGTTACAAGAAATTACCAGTCAGAAACTGTATCTATGACATGGCATTTAGAATGGTTCAAAGGCTCTGTATTGGATGGTAAGGAAATTATCACTGAACACTGGGCACTGCGGTTCCTGGAAAGCCAGAGCCAGCTCTTCCTTCCACAGCATCTGTACCCACATTGGCTGAGGAGCAGGAGGCTCCACCTTGGGAGGCATTAGGACCGTGTGGGTTAAAAATCAGGTGCCAGGAAATTCAGAGACAAGGGAAAAGGCAGCACCGAACCAGCCATTGGCTTAAGGAATTTAAACACGTAGGCTGAGGCAGGAGGATCTCAACTTCAAGTCTTACCTGGGCAGCTGAGGCTCTGTCTCCAAAAGGGAGGGTGCTGGGAGGTACAGTGCTCTGGGGTTAGATCCTCCAGCCCTGGAGAGGAGGAGATATTATTTGGGCTCACAGTTATTACTATTTTTGGTACTGGGGATTGAACTCTCCACCTTGCACTTAGCAGGTAGGTACATGAGCTGCTGAACTATATCCGCAGCCCCTGGCTCATGGTTCTTAAGATCGGGCGGCCACATTGGTCTGAGCCTCTGGTGGTGGTAGCACAGCATCGCAGGTGTGCAGCGTGGTGTGGGCCAGGGAGGGAAGGAGGAAGAGCGGGGCACCCTACAGCCCCCTCTGAAACCCCAGAGCCCAGGGACATCTCCTGAGCCCTTCCAGGCCCACGGCCCCTCCTGTTCTGCTGTCTGAGTTCCAGCCATGCAGCACTGCTCACACTTGAGCACTGCTGGAGTCAGACCTGGCCCCTTGGGCTCAGTGGCCACACAGGGCTGGGGGCTTTGTCTAGAGCTGTGTGTGGTGGTGGTGGTGGGGCAGTGCTGGGGATTGACCCCAGAGCCTCTGTACTGAGCGCATCCTGGGCCCCTTAAAAATTTGTATTCTAGGGGCTGGAAATTTAGCTCAGAGGCATAAGCACCTGTCTGGCAAGTGCAAGGTCATGAGTTCAATCCCTGGTACCAAAAAAAAAAAAAATTTGTATTCTATTTTATGTAAGATATTGAATATTTAGCTCAAGGCCTTCCCACTGAGCTACCTCCCTGACCCTTTTTATTTTGAGATAAGATCTTGCTAAAACACTAAGTTGCCCAGGCTTAGTTCAAATTTGCAGTGCTCCTGCCTCAGCCTCCCAGAGTGCTGAGATTACTGGCATGCACGATCATGCCCAGCAGGGTTGTGGGCAGCTCTAGCCTGGCAAGGCCAGAGCTCTGCAGCTCTAGTTTGCAAAATCTGAGGAAAGTCCAAGCTCCTTGCTTGTGGGGGAATGGCAATGGGTTATTCTCACCTTTACTTGGGGCTGAAGATTTTGGTTCTGGCCCTGAATTCAATTCAGGCAGAGGGAGCTCGGGCTGGGGCAGTGGATACCATCCCCCTCAGGCCCCTTTGAGGGCCACCCCAGGGCATCGTACCTGGCTGAAGAGAGAAGGGTGGGACTGCTTGTGCGCTGGACTCACGGAGGGAGGATGGGGGAGGGAAAAGGAGGAAAAGGGGGAGGGGGAGGAGGAGAGAGGAGATGGGACAGCGCCACCTGCTGGCAGGACGGGCACGATGCGGCCCGCTGTGCCTCATGGAGCGCTGTTGTTGCAGGGTCAGCCCTGCTGTCCCAGAGAAGACACACTGGGCCCTACAGGGAGAGCTGGCTCCCAGCAGGGCAGCGGCCCAGGGACGGCACGGAGGAACCTTTCCTTCCCAGGAGAGGGCCTGCCCTCCTGGTCACTGTCTGGTGCCTACCCACCCACGACACACTTTGTCCTCCTGGGCCTGGGTCCTCTGCACCAGCCACCCCAGGCTCAAGCCATCCTAGCATAGCGCTGGGGCTTGGTGAGGCACCCAGGGGTCGGGTGCCTGCCGAGCACCCGAGGGGAATGAGGCACACCTGGCACCGCCCCGAGGCTGCCAAGAGGGACAAGGGGGGACTACGTGGATGCCAATGCCCAGAGAGTGACCTGGGGTTCCTGCGTCCCCACACTCCCTGCCAGGCCTTCCTGACTAGCTTCTCTGAGCTGACCAGAGTTGTGCATAGCAGGCTTCCCCTCCAGGCTCTCTGCAGCCTGTCCTGCCCTGGAGATGGAGCCTGGTCCCCTTCCTAAGCCACGAGAGGCTTGCTGACCTAGAAGTAGAGCGCATTGTCACTCGGATATTTGGCTTCGTGGTGCTGTTCAGCTCTGAGCTCTGTAGCTGGAGAGGCTCATGATAAAGGGTGGGGGCTGTAGAGTAGGGTCGCTGCACCCAAAGGTACCCTGAGGGCCCCAAACCAGTGGGACCCTCTGTCTGTAAAGCAAGAATAAAGTGGCATGCACTCTGTGGCTCTAGGTGAGCAGAAAAGGGCCCTCATACAGTTAAAATCACCCAGTCCTTGGCTCCCTAAGAGAGGGTCTGCCTTCGGGGTGGGGGCTCGGCGGGTGCTGGGAGAGGGAGACACTGGTTAGAAGCTATTGTGCCACTCAGGGTTTCTTGTGACATTGCAGGAAGCAACACTCCTTCCGCCTCTGAGCTCCATGAGACAGACGAATGCGCCTTTGCGGAGCAGAGCGGCAGAGCCGGGGCCACGCGGGATCGCTGGCATCCCAGGGTATGTTTCTAGCCTGTGCATGTCCACTGTGGGGGGGCAGAGCCTGTGACGGGGAAGAAGGCTGCCATGCACCTCACTTATTCTGAAAGCAAAAGTCAGAATTAATAGCAGTTTCTGCTCCAAGTACTGTGGATTGAGCCCAGGAGTTACCTCCCCAGCCCTTTTTAATTTTTTTTTTTTTTAATTCTGAGGCAGTCTCACTAAATTGCTGAAGTGCCTAGGCAGAGTGGTGTGATTATAGGGCTGTGTAACAGAAATCCTTAGTGTTTGGTTTTATGATCTTCCTTTTAAATCCTTCATGATTTGCTGGACATAAACTATGACTTCAAATTGATAACATCAGAATCTTGTTTCCAATGGCATGCTGAAGTTTTCCAATATAGGTTCATGAATCTTAGGCCTAAACATAGAAACAGAAATTGTAACATTTCTAGCAGGAAATATAGGAGGAAATGTTAACAACCTGAGGGTAGGCAAAGATTTCTTACATGAGACACCAAAAGCATAATCCTTAAAATAAAAATTAATTATTTGGGCTTCACCTAAATCAAAAGCTTATAATCTTCCAAAGACACTGTTAAACCAGTCGTGGTGGTACACGTGTAATCCCAGTACTCAGGAGGCTGAGGCGGGAGGGTTACTGGGAGTTCGCGGCTAGCCTGAATTGCATAGTGAGACTCTGTCTCAAAGCAAAGCAAAGCAAAACAAAACAAAACAAAAGCCCTGCTAAGACAGAGCACAAATCATAGTAGGAAAAACTATTTGCAAATCATATATAGTAAAACCTTGGATTGTGAGTAACTTGGTCTGGGAGTGATCCGTGAGGCAAGTGAACATTTCTAGTAAGTTTTAGCTCCATAAATGAGTGATACCTCGTAATGTGAGTAGAATGTGGTGCTGGGAATCACATGATCACGACTGAGCTAGGGCTCCCTCTCTCCCTCTCTCTGTCTCTCTATGGGACAGCCACAAAATTTTCAAATGTAAATGCAGATCCATTTGCTTATTTTTCTTTACATTTGTTTTTTTATTTTGTACTGTATTACAGTATTTTTTTTGTCTTTTTCTTTTTTTATTGGTACCGGGGATCGAACTCGTGACTGCCTGCTTGCAAGGCAGGCACTTATGCCGCTGAGCTAAATCCCCCGCCCCTGTATTACAGTATTGTAATCATTTTTACATGCATATTTTTGTGGAATGAATCATCCAACTTTCCATTATTTCTGATTGGGACATTTGCTCTGATACATGCTTTGAATTACAAGCATGTTGTAACAAATGGAACAAATTTGGCTCACAAATCAAGGTCTGACTGTATTGATAAAGGATTTAATTCAGGATATGGAAAGAACCCTCTGGACTTAATAGCTACATCTGTACAAGAAAATGGGCAAAACATTTGAAAAGATTCCTCCTTCAAAGCAGATGTGTGGATGAGTGCAAGCGTAGTAAACGCTTCTCACCCTTAGCTGGCGAGGAAATGCAAAGTAACAGACCCCGTGATGTCACTGTGCACCCAGTAGCAAGGCTGTGGGGAGAACCTGGCCAGCAAGTGCACAGCGCATGGACCAGTCGAGCCGGTGCCGAGGTCAGGAGGCTGTGACTCCCCTCTGCAGAGCACGGGCCGACCCTCAGCTGGAAACTGAGGCCAGGTCTGGAGGGCGGTGATGTTTGTCTGCCCACAGAGTGGGATCTGTGAAGCAGTGGGGACGAATGAGCCTCACGGACATAGCGCTGACGGGAGGACAGCGAGCACAGGAACGCACAGGTCCTGCTCGGCCCGTGTGTGTTATTCCTCAGTAAGGCCATCATAAGCCAAATACTGTGTGCCCAAAGTGACCCGATTACACCTGCCCTCCCCACAGCAGGGTGTGGCCCAGTCTGCCTCCAGCCCAGCTTTTTCATTTTTTTCTTTAATTTTGAAACAAGGACTCATTATCGCTAAGCTGCCCAGGTAGGGCTTGACTGGCAATCCTCCTGCCTCAGCCTCCCTGGGAGTGCTTAGATTACCAGCCTGGGCCTCCCACCTAGCTCCCTAGCCAGGCTTCACCGTGCTTGTTAGCCGGCGGGGGTGGGACAGAATAACTGGACCCAGAGCTTTGTTCCAGTGAAGTGTGGGCCACCCCACCAAACCGGCGGAGCACTACACAGAAGTGGGGAACAGGGGCTTGGGGTCCCCTTGCTGAGGAAGCTGTGCTGCAGCTGGCTGCGGTGCTCCACGCTGCGTTCTTAGCAGTGAGCCTGTGAGAGTGGGGTCAGCCTGCGGCCCTTGCTGGGTGCCTGGGCTGCTGCAGGCTGGGAAGGGCTCAGGCCAGCCAGCCCCATGAGGTGGGAGGCAAAGAAGCCTGGGCTCCCGCAGGCCCCGGGCAGGGCAGATCCTGACTGCACCAGCCCCCACCAGCGGCCGGAGGTGGAAGGGCTCCCTTGGGCCGCTGGTGGGCCACTAGCTGTGGGCGTGGGGTGCAGGCTCAGCTCTGGAACCGGGTGGAGAATTCCAGAAGAGGAGGCGGTCAGCCCTTGGGTCCCGGCTCCACCGCCCTGAGCTGGCCCTTTACCCTTCTGTGGTGAGGAAGGAAAGAAGATGGCCCAGCCCTCGGGCTCCCTCTGGTGGCAGAGCCCAGGCACTGTTTACCCGCTGCAGAGCTGCAGGTAGCTCAGCTGCTTCTGGCTGTGCAACCGGCTCTAAACCCTGACCCCTACAGGAAGGAATCAGCTGTTTTCCTACCGTGACTGCCCCTGGCAGTCAGGTGAGACCCATCTCAGAATCATGTTCTTAAATGCATAAAATAAATAAAAAATAAATGCATAAAATAAAATACTTGCGGTTACCTTTTCTATCAAAATTGGCAAGAGCGCTGGTCCTGTTGAAATGTACTTTCCACCATTTAAAACAAATCGTGGTATGGTGTGTGCTGTGTGTGTGTCTTTATTAATGCTTACATTCAAGATCTGGCAGTGGTTCTGAGCAAGAGAGCAAGAAGGTGATAGGGTTTTCAGTGCGATGAAAGAGAGAATATAAAATAAAAGTAGCCTTTATTCTAAGGATGTGGAGAAAACTCCGTGACCACCGGGGCCTGGCTCTCTTCATGCTGGAAATGTGGGGCGTGGGACATATATATAATTTCTGATTGGGGTGGTTTCTTAGGGCAGCATTGCTGAGGTGCGAACAGCTGATTGGGACCTTTTCATGCCACTGGTAATTTGTCATAGGGGAGGAGAAAGTGACCTCAAGGTAAAGATCCCCTGGTCCTGCCTCCCATGCCGTAATATCGTATCTAGGGCAAAATCCTTTCATTCTCGTCTTTTTATTGTTAGGAAAAGGGTGCAATCTCTCTCTCTTACTACTTCCTGCTGAAAAGGGGGCGCCTATTAGGGTTTAGGAGGGTTGGTGGGATGATAGTTGATGCTGATGCAGAAGCTGGTGCCAGGTGTTTCAGCCAGGACAACTTTATCATTGGTGAATGCCCGCATGTTAGACTGGAAGACAAAGAGACAAGGTGCTATGAGAAGGCAGGCCACTATCATATTTAAGGACCCAGGAAAGGTAGAAGGAAAGGTGCCTTTGATTTAAATATGCTGTTCCATCAGGACCATGGTGAGGTAGAATTCTGAAAGATAAGTGTGGGGTTAGGAGAAGTGAAGTTATGAGAGGTGATTATTCCCCCATCTGAAAGGGTAAAAGTTAAGAGTGTAGGTAGGACTTGTCTCTGGTCCAGGAGTTGAGCTGGAAAGGGTAAGAGGGATGGGGAGGGCCATGGCTGTGTCACTATAAGGAAGGTAAGAGCCTAGGCCTTCAGGGATGTCACATTTGACTAAACAGCTGAGGGTAGAGAAAACTAAGACAGTTGTCACATAGAACAACATGAAGATGATCTTATGCATGATGTGGGAGTCTTTAGAAAAGACTGTTTTAAGAGTCCTGCTGTAAAAAAAAGATAATTAATAGAATGTAAGGAATTAGGAACCAAATCTAATTTAATAACAAAACATGACTTAGCCTGAGAGTTGTGGCTGTGAGGCCTTGGTGAGATGGAGATGAGTAGGCAATGGAGTGGGTAGATTTAGGGCTGGAGGGCGCCACTTGAGTGATGTGGAACCAGGATGGGAGTCCAGCAACTGTGACCGCTGTTGGGGTTGCCAAGAAGACCAGGTATGGGCCACTCCACCTTGGTTGTAGTCCTTGGGATGATTTCCTGTAATAGGACTTTAGTAACTACATAGTGGTCTCCCTGGTTGTGGGAAAGGCTTTTATCTATCCTGAAAAGTACAAACAAAGGTGGGAAGATATTTGAGAGTTTTTTGGCAGGGCATGTGTGTAAAATCTATCTGCCAGTCCTGACCAGGGGTGTGTCCATGAAATTGATGAGTAGGAAAGGAAGGGGGTGTTGTATGTGTCCCTGAGGAGAGGTCCTAGCACAGAGATGACAGGTGTGAGTAATCTGAAGAATGATAGCCTTTAGAGAAGGGTGTGTAACTATACTAGGGTTGAGAGTCTGTATAAGGCCTGTGGTCCTATATGGAAACAGTCATGTAAGTCAGGGATGATGTCTAAGGCCTGTTGATGTGGGAGAACAAGTTTAGATCCTTGAAAAATCCCATCCCTGGGTGTTTTGTGTGTAACCTGGTTTATGAAGTAGCTGTAGCTGCTCTGGTGCTGAGGTGCTGAGGTGCTGAGGTAGACTGTTTGGGACTAACAGAGAAGATGAGAAGGACAGGGCCTTTGTGCAGCTAACTTGGCTTGTGAATCTGCAAAGGCATTGCCGTGAGCAATGGGATCTGCAGAATTCTGGTGTCCCCTACAGTGAATAACTGTTGGCTGATTTGGGAGTTGTGCTGCTTCTAGGAGTTTAGGGATAAGAGGTGCATTAATGATGGGGTTCCCTGGGAGTTAATAAAGCCCATTCTTGCCAGATAGAGGCATGAGAGTGTAAAGTGCTAAATGTATACCTTGAATCAGTATACATATTTATGACTTTGTCCTTTGCTAGTGTAAGAGCCCATGTAAGGGCAATAAGTTCTGCCCTCTGGGAACAGGTCCAAGGTGGCAGTGGATTTGCCTCTATAACTTTTGACTGGTTAACTATTGCATATCTTGCCTTTTTTTTGGCTGTCTGTGTTGAACTACCGTCTATGAACCATGTGTCAAAGGCTAGAGAGAGATGTGCTATTAATGTGATGGAATGGGGTAGAAGTCATCTGTTAAGACTTCAATACAGTCATGGTGAGAGTGGCCCTCTGAGGTGGGAAGTAAAGATACCACATTAAGAGGACCACTAGTTTCTGAGTGTTAGGTCTGAGAAGAAGAGGGGGGAAGAAGAGGGGAAGAGGGGAAAGAGGTCCGTGGAAGGAATGGAGTGGACAGCCGTGAAAGTAGTGGGCAGTGGTGGCTGCAAAGATAAGAAATATAAAATATAAGTAACCTTTATTTCGGGAATGTGGGGAGAGACCCCCCCGGCCCCGGGGCGCAGCATCTCCACCCCGGGACCGATGGTCTCTCTCTGGAACACACTCTCCCTTTCTCCTTCTCCTTCTTCTTCTTCTTCTCCACGTGGAGTGAGGCCCATAAGTAGCCTCTGTCTGGGACGGACCCCAAGGGGCATTAGGGATGCACAGTATTTCATTGGCACACGTTTGGCACCAGGGTTACAGGGATGGGGGTATAGGATTACAGGCAAATCTATAGGGGCGGGGGAGGCAGGAGCCCCCTAACTTGGCTGAGGCTTTTCCTGGTTAAAGTGTCCGGTCTGGGCCAGCAACTCTTTCACTGAGAGAGGGCTAGATGTACCTGTTGAAGGCGAGAAGGGGTCATCAGGGCAGGGAATGCCTTGTGTGAGATGAGCTCATTTAGGTGATGAGGTCAGTGTACTGTAATAGACTACCCTAATGTGAACTTCTTAGCTTCCTGTATAGGTAGGGCTGCAGCCACAAGGGCTCAAAGACAAGGTGTCCATCCTTTTACTGTGTTGTCTAACTGCTTTAACAAGTAGACTACCACTAGAAAAGAAGGTCCCTTCTTGTATCCTAGTATACCTACAGCATTGTGGCCCTGAAGGGTAGTGTACAGAGTGAAAGATTGGGTGGGATCAGGAAGGATGAGGGCTGGAGCCCTTAGGAAAACTCTTTTAATTTATGAAAGGAGTTATGTATGGGCTCAGTGGGGTCTAGGGGTTCTGATATGGGGCCTTTAGAAGCTTTGTAGAGGGCTTGAGCTAGAGTTGCAAGTTATGAATCCATAGATGAAAGAAATTAGCTAAACCTAGGAAAGATGTAACTTGTTGTTTAGTTGTGGGCACCTGGAAATCTCACAGAGTAGCCTTACAATCTGTAGTGATGGAATGAGTGGTGGAGGTGAGAGAGAGACCTAGGTATTTGACTTTTGGGGAAGCGATTTGGGCTTTAGCAGGAGAGACCCTGTACCCATGACTGGCAAGAAAATTAAGGAGAGTAGCTGAATGTTATGTGGCTAACATATGGGATGGAGAACATAAGAAAAGGTCATCTATGTGTTGAAGGAGAGTGCTAGGTTTGAGATCAAGTTCTGTAAGGTCAGCAGTGAGAGCTTAGCTAAAGAAGTGAGGATTATCACTGAACCCTTGGGGTGCACTGTCCAAGTAAGTTATTGAGACCTGGGAGTGTCTGGATCACTTCATGTAAACACAAAGAAATCCTGACAATCAGGGTGTAGGGGATGCTAAAAAACGCATCTTTAAGATCTACAACTGTAAACTGAGTGGTGGAGGGAGGGATATGAGAAAGCATGATATAAGGGTTTGGCACCACTGGGGTAACACACTACTGATCACCCTAAAGTCCTGTATTAGACGGTAAGACCTATCAGGCTTAAGTACTGGGAGAATGGTAGTATTATAGGATGAGTGGGTAGCTTTAAGAAAACCGTTGTCTAAAATGCACTTAATTATAGGTATAATTCCCTGTAAATGTTTGGGAGCTATGGGATATTAGGGAACACAAGGAAAAAATTGAAGGACTCCTGAGACAAATTAAAATGGACATGGCATGGGTAGTGCAGGTGGGATTAGAGGTATCTCAAACTATGGGATTGACCAGAGAAGAAGGAGTCTGGAGCCTGCATGGAACAAGCCTTGTCTGCAAAGGCTGCATAGGTTGGCTGTAAACACCCACTATAGAGACTGAGGACTTAATATAGCGGCCTGAAAATTCAGGAAGAACACTATACATGGCCTCCATTTCCACAAGTACAGAGAATGTCTTACCTGAGACCTCCAGTGGGACTTGGGGCTCTGGGAAGGACACCTTAATGGTGGGCCCCAAGCCCCATCAGTCTTCAGCAGTAAGTCTGAGAAGATCAGTCAGCGATGAATCTAGTGGTGATGAGATCTCCTCTGAGGGCAAGGAGTTAGTGGATGGCTTACCCACTCTCTGGCAGCTAGAACAGTTGCTCTTCCAGTGGCCCTTGAAATTCCTTGCAGTGGCAAGGTCCCAGAGGAACTCCAGGATTGGGGCATTATTTTGCCCAATGTTGTTTTTTTGCTGCATTTGAAGCATGGTCTGGGAGGGGTTCAGGCAGCTCCACCTTGTCTCAGTTTACCTATCTCAGAGCTCCAAGTGTCACTGCTAAAAGATCAGATTGTTATTTTTCCTTTTGATTTTTATCTCTGTTGTTGAAAACATGAAAAGCCATATTAATAAGGTCTCCCTATAGGGTTTGAGGGCCAAGATTGGCCTTTTGTCTTGGGATCTGGCCCACAGTGAAAGGTATCTGTCTCTTCCACAGTCACAAGACATCTGGCTTTATCTTGGGTAGGTGTACAGCTTTAAGTTTAAAGGAGACAAAGGCAAAGAATCAATTAAGTATGCAGGAGTCAAATAATACAATCAACAGAGTATTTATGATTATAACTTTAGCAATGACTTCCCATAAGGAGGATAAGGATAAGGTTCAGGGAATTTTAGAAACTGACATGTCATTCATTTGTCATACACACATTTAGGTTTTTACAATTGTATAAGTACCTCTTATGCTGTTAGAATGTCTAATGCCATCTGATTTTGGAGGATGGCCTGTTTTATTAATTTTACCTTTTTACTTAGGAGAGAAATCAGCTGCAGTGTCACCTAACACCAGTTGTGTATAGTTAATTATGGCCCCAATTTGCTGGTGGATACAAGCAAAAGGAATCCAAAAGGAATTTATAATTATCTCTTAATTTTAGTTGTTGAACATCCAGAAGATTGACAACAGTACAGTGTAGTAGAGGCAGTAAGCTTAACATAGAACATTAAATGGAACTATTATTTTGTATTAACCATGGGTGTTTTAACATTTGAGCACTGAAGAAATTTGTGACATTGTTTGGACTGTTCACTAAGCATCTCCAGTATAACATATACATTACACAAATTTTTGTTTAAAAATTATCATTTGACTGGTGACCCCGTGTTGTTCTGACCTGAATTTCCTGGCTGGAGCACAAGAAAAGGGCAGATGTGTGCATCTGAAAGAAAGCACTTGTCATCATAAACAACCCCAATTTTATATTTGAAGGTATGAATACACCATCAGATCAGCAACAATGAATTGTCTTACTCATATGAACTTTAGTTGAGGTGTCTCCCATAAGGCTATGAAGATTATTGGGGCCTCCAATTAATGAACAAGAGCTGGTTAAAGTTACCAAGTGGCCACTTTCCTGTTTATCAATTCGAGTCCTGTCCAATGTCTCCTCACCCCAAGGGATTTTGTTTAACCAAGTTTAGCATCATTTTGACCAGCTGGCAACCTAGGTGGAAGCATGTTTTTTAAATCTATAACCCAAATAAACCTTGATTAAATGATCTGAAAATGTAAAAGAGGAGGAAAAATTGTTGAGATCAAATAAAAAGGAACAGCTGTTTATAGGGCAGGCAAATGGACAAACAGACAGCAGATATATAAACTGACAATCATAAAATTATAGTGCACTCAAATATATTTGACCAATTTGGGTGAGCTGGCAGAGAAAATGTCGATGCAGGGGAATGGGACAAAGAACCCTCCAATGGAACAGATGGCTCGGGTAGTGGAGGGAGAGGATGGCAGTGCAGGGGGCAAAGAAACCTCTAGCTGAGAAGGCTGCGGGGTTTGGTATGAGAGATGCAGGGGAGGGGCCGTAAAGACAGGAGCCACATTATCTAAAGCAGTCCAGTGGGGAGGGAGGGAGAGAGAGATCCTTGTGGAGCAGAGTGAGCCAGAAATATTTGGGCCATCACAGAAGACAGAGTGAGAGAAGGACACATCTTAAAGTGAAAAGGCCTAAAGATGAAGAGTTTCTGCCAACTTGCTGCCATTGTGACAAAAGCATAAATAAAAGATCAGCTTTCTGGTTTTTATAGCCTTCTAGAGGCCAAGAGCACCAAGGTTATGAACGAGGCACCCCAAAAGTGTGTTTTGAGGGGACAGGAAGTGGTCCCCATGACCGAATTTTAAGTGAACTGAGAGAACACCTTTGCCTTGGAACATAAGAGCGTTAGCACGCCCCAGGAATGTGGAAGCTGTGCTGGGTCACACTTAACAAAAGTTAAAGTTATTTTGAAAGTGTGACACTGGAAAGTCCCTATACCCATTCTCCTTGGCCTCATCACTGAAAAGTGGAGGGCAGGGTCCCAGTGAACAAAAATGTCAGTCTTGCCTCAAGCCATGTGGCCTAAGGAATGTCAAAACTGGTGTCCCTGTTCAGGACGGCAGGATGGGTTTTCTGTTGCAAGCTTGCTAAAGTTATGGAAACAGAAAACTCTGGACGGTAGCTCACCTACATGGAGTGAGGAAGGTTGGCAGTTTACCTGTGTTCAGTGAGGAAGGTTGCTGTTGCATGCAGATTAGCGGTGGCAAGTAAACAGTCCTGGAGGAAGAAAAAGGTGGTTTCTGATGTGGCCTAGCTCTAACCAATGCACCTCCTTCCTGTTCTGTATGTGCTGTTTCAATAAAAATTAAAATTCCATTTCCAGTAAAGACTTAAGTTTCAGCTCCTTGTAAATCCCCCCCAACCCCCTTCTGCATGCTTCTGCAAGGTGTGCTGTTCTGAGAAAATGTTTAACCACAGAGAGCAATGGAATGTACCAAAAATGTTATCTGAAATAGGTTGATAGCTTTGTGGTTTTTAGCTTTAAAAACTCCACCCTTAGCCTGTGAGGCATGCAGTCTTCCACATTGGCTACCGGAGGCTGCGTCGACAGGCCTGGCCTAAAAATAAAGCCTTTGCTCCAAATTTCTTAATTTCTTGCTTCCTTGGATTTTAATCCGGGGTCTGAGCTATCACATTTGGGGGCTTGTCCGGGATGGAATCAAGACCCCTGACTCAATTCTGAACATCTAAAAGTAAGTACTCTGGAGGGTTTATTTAGACTGCAGTCAGTTCTTACTTCAGGAGGGGACACCCTCAATTTGGGGAGTGGAGACCTCCCGAGGACAGAGTCAATTGTTTTTTGGGACGAATCTCATCTGTTTGTGACTCTGCCCCGGGTGGGGAACTGCTCTGTTGGTTAATTTGTTAATCCCTCCAGATCCCAAAATTTGACCAATTTTTGAGCAAAGGCCATTTTTGCTGCAGTTTGTCTTGTCTTGTATGTCTGTCTGTGTGTCCATTTGGTCTAACTGTTCTCCTTTTGGTTACCCAAATCTAAAAGAACATTTTCTCCTAGGAATCCCTTCTATGAGCCCAAAATGGACAAAAGGCATTTTGACCATTATTTGAATCTCATTGTTGGTTCTGTCTCTTCCTCCTAATCTTATTTTTGTCTCTTAGACTCTCCCACAAAAGAAAAAAAGAAACTGACATCTTTGCTGGCCATGGGGCAACCTGAATCTAAATTCAGCACACCCCTTAGCCTTGTGCTTGATCAATTCAAGGAATTCAAGTGGTGGGCTGAGGGATATGGGGAAAGAGTTCATAAAGTCAGATTAACAACTTTTGTCACACAGGAATGGCCGTTAAGGACCTAGGGGGTCTGGCCCCACTCCGGGTCTTTTAACATGGAGACAGCACAAGCTGCTCGCCGGTATGTTTTTGGGCCCCCTGCTCACTCTGACCAAAGTGTCTATTTTCAGATATGGATAGACATAATTTATGATGCCCCTTCCTGGATTAAGCCCTCTCGTGACAGTCATTGTGACCCTCAAACCAAAAGTAAAACCCGAGAAGCCGCCTTCTGATCCTACCACGCCTCTGGTCCTGCCCTCCTAAGAAGACCCCCTTGACCCGCTGGAGGCACTCCTGCTGCCTCCCCTGTACCCCACCTCTGACCCTCAACCTGACTCCACTGCTCCATCCCCACCACATCCTGTTTGCACCCACCGACACCCACGGCCCAAGGCGTCTTCAGAGCAAAGCTCTGAGGTGGCTCCATTTTGTCCATTACGGGAGGTCCCTCGGCCGGACAGGAGCTCAATATTTGTGTACATCCTTTTCTCCTTTTCAGACCTTTATAATTGGAAATCCCAAAATCCTCCATTTTCAAAGGATCCTGAATCTGATTAACCTTTTAGAATCTGTATTCTCCACCCATTGCCCCACTTGGGACAATTACCAACAGATCCTGCGCATCCTCTTCACGGCCGAAGAGAGACTGTGCATTTGCACTCTTGGGCAAAGAGGAGTCTGAGAACTGGACGGATCTACATCTACTGATCAGCAGAGAACTGAATGCCTGTTCCCTTCCTCCTGACCTAACTGGGACCCCAATACAGATGGAGGGAAGAGGGCTCTCGATAATTATTGCCTGAGGCTTCTAGACGCGCTTTGTGCTGCCGCCAAGAAGCTCACCAATTTATCTCGAGTGACTGAGGTAAGACAATTAGCAGATGAATTTCCTGCTATGTTTTTAGAGCGCCTTCTAGAGGCATATAGATTACATATACCAATTAATCTGATGGCACCTGAAAACACACGAGCAATTAATACTGCTTTCGTGTCCCAGTCAGCCCCTGATGTTAGGAGAAAATTACAGAAGCTTGAGGGATTTGAGGGAATGCCCCTCAGCCAGTTAATAGAGATAGCACAAAAGGTCTTTGAAAACAGAGAGAATTTACAAGAAACTACCAACAAGAAGATGACCAAGGTGTTAAAATTGCTCTGTGAGAAAGAAACTAAGAAGCCAACCAATACCAACAAGAAGAAGCTCAGGGACAACGACCTCCACTAGATAAGGAACAATGTGTATATTGCAAGGAAAGGGGACATTGGTGAAGAGATTGTCCAAGGTTAAAGACTAAATTAGAGAGAGGAGCAAAAACCTTGTTGTCTCAACAATGAGGAGGTCAGGGCTCGCTGCTGCCCCCTGAGACCCAAATAGCCCTTCAAGTCGGGGGTGGGGGGGTGCATCTGGTGGACTTCCTGGTAGATACAGGAGCCACCTATTCTGTGCTGACCCAACCCTTGGGAAATTGACTAAAGACTCAGTTAATGTAATAGGAGCCACAGGGGGATGAAAATCATACCCAAAGGTGACTGATAGTTTGGCTCCACCAGGCCATAAGTTAGTCCAGCACGATTTCTTATGGGTACCAGAGTGTCCAGACCCCCTCCTAGGATGAGACTTTCTTCATAAGTTGCAAGTACAAATTGACTTATTAACAGATGAGCCAAAATTAAGATTGGGAACTGACTCAATCCAAACTCTTGAAAAGAGTATTAGAGTTTTGGCTTTGGTTCTGGAGGGAGAAAATTACCGACTGCTGAAAAATTTGACCGATCCTCCTAAGCTGTTGCTTGAACACTCAGAATTAAAATTATTAGAAAAGTGGAGGCAAGAAATGTCCAAGGTCTGGGCTGAAACCAAGGTCTAGTGGTCAACCAAGTGCCCCTTGTAGTAGATCTCCTACCTTAGGTGCACCCTATTTGTTTGTGTCAATATCCAATAAGTCTCCAAGCTCGAAAGGGAATTAAAATTCATATACAGAGACTAAGAGAAAATGGTATCCTCATCTCTTGTGTCTCCCCTTGGAACACGCCCCTGCTTCCAGTCCAGAAACCAAGGACAGCTGACTATCATCCTGTGCAAGATCTCTGAGAGGTCAACAGACGAGTATCAACTCTATATCCAACAGTGCCTAACCCCTACACTCTACTCAGCCTCCTCAACCTAGAGTGCACCTGGTACTCTGTATTGGACCTCAAGGATGCCTTCTTCACTCTACCTCTCGCTCCAGTGAGTCAACCCATTTTTGCCTTTGAATGGACTGACCCAGATTCCAGGGTCACAGAACAACTGACTTGGACTTGGTTACCACAGGGTTATAAAAACTCACCCACCCTTTTTGATGAGGCTTTGGCTAGAAATCTCTTGGGTTTTCATTAAGAACAGCCCAAGGTAGTGCTTCTACAATATGTGGATGACCTGCTGGTAGCCTCATCCACCTTAGAGTCCTGTCAAGAGGCAACAGGGGAGCTACTAAAAACTTTGGGATGATTAGGTTATAAGGTTTTGGCCAAGAAAGCCCAATTGTGTTGCCAAACCGTGACTTATTTGGGCTACCAGTTATAGGAAGGAAAAAGAACTCTAACCAAAGAAAGAATTCAAGCTATATTGCAGATTCCAACCCCAGAAACTAAAAAACAAGTATGGGAGTTTCTGGGGGTGGTTGGATACTGTAGGCTATGGATTCTAAATTTTACTGAGATAGCTTGCCCCCTGTATGACTTCCTTAAGGGAGAAACTCAAAATTCACTGAACTGGACTGATGAATGTGAACAGGCCTTCTAGCAGCTCAAACGGGCCCTGACAGAGGCTCCAGCCCTGGGACTGCCTGATGTTACCAAGCCTTTCACCTTGTTCATAGATGAACTCAGGGGTATTGCCAAAGGAGTCCTAACCCAGGACATTGGCCATTGGAAGAGGCCTATAGCCTACCTCTCCAAAAGACTTGATCTGGTGGCAGGAGGATGGCTCCCCTGCCTGAGAATGCTAGCTGCTGTGGCAATTGTACTTAAAGAGGCTAAGAAACTCACTTTTGGACAGAAGATTTCTGTGGTGACCTCCCACAGTTTAGAGACTCTTATAAAAACCCCTCCTGAAAAGTGGCTCTTGAATGCCAGAATTCTACACTATCAGGCCCTGCTCCTAGACCCAGTCAGTGGTTTTCAAGACCTCTTCAGCCTTAAACCCAGCCATCCTTATGCCTGACGATGACCCTGAAGTTCAGAGTGCGCCTCTCCATGAGTGTGCTGATCTCCTCGAAATGCAGCAGAATCTACGGGCTGATCTTACTGACCAGCCTTTGGGGGAATGTTGATAAATACTTCACTGATGGGAGCAGTTTCATCCAGGATGACAAAGGAGTGGCTGGATCGGCAGTGACTACCGAAAAAGAAGTACTCTGGGTTAAGTGGTTAAAGCCTGGCACCTCAGCCCAAAAAGCTGAGCTCATTGCTTTGGCCGAGACACTAAAGTTAGCCACTGGGAAAAAGGTAAATATCTATACTGACAGTAGATATGCTTTTGCTACTATATATGTGCATGGAGCCATCTATCAAGAGCAAGGTCTCTTAACCTCAGCCGGGACTAAGATAAAAATGCTCCACAGATTCTAGACTTGCTGGCAGCTGTATGGCTCAGCAGGTTGCTATTCAAGTCTCATCAGACAGGAGATGACCCTATCACCCTAGGAAACAATTTAGCAGACCAGGCTGCTCAACAAATAGCAACCACATCAGAGGGGCCAACCGAGGTAACTGCTCTGATGTTAATTCCTCCCACCTTATCTGAATGGATCTATATACAAAGAAAGACCTGCAGTTAGCATCTCAACTTGGAGCAAAGTCCCTCACCCCAGGAGGTTGGTACCAATTACCAGACAAACAAGTGCTATTACCAAAGACACTAGGACTAGTGAGCTGCTACACCAGGCTCATTAAACCACCCATTTAGAGGGGACTAAACTTGCTGAATTGTTCAGAACTCAGTTTTTCATTCTAAGACTCTCCAAACTGACCACTTCTTTGAGCTCCAGATGCCTGCAGTGTTTGTTAGTCAACCCGACCAAAAGCTCTCCACTGGAGACCACCTGGCATCGAGGAACTGCCCCAGGACAACACTGGGAAGTAGACTTTACAGACATGGTAAAGTCTGGTTTACAGGGACACCACTATCTCTTGGTATTAATAGACACCTTCACTGGCTGGATAGAGGCTTTCCCTACCAAGTCCAAGTCAGCCTTAGTGGTAGCCAGAAAGCTATTGCATGAGATCATACCTTGATTTGGCCTTCCATTATCAATGGGGTCTGATAATGGCCCAGCTTTCATAGCCCAAATCACCCAAAAGTTAGCCCAGGCATTAAAGATTAATTGGAAACTCTACTGTGCCCCAGCTCAGGGCAAGTAGAATGTATGAACCGAACTCTCAAGGACACTTTAGCTAAGCTGTCTTTAGAAACTGGCGATAATTGGGTGAGCCTTCTTCCCTTTGCGAGTTAGATGTACTCCTTATGTTTCTGGAATTTCCCCATTTGAAGCTATGTTTGGGAGACCCTCCACTGGTCCCAAGGCTCTCTGAGGACAAATTAATTGAAATAATGAACCAAGACCTCATTAAGTCCCTGCAGGCACTCCAGCCTGTGCTGACCTCCATCCACCAGCTGTTCAGACAAAAACACCATGATCTGCCTTCGGAGACACCGCTAAAGACACCTATCCAGCCGGGAACTTCAGTCTTGGTGCAATGCCATTATCAAGACTCCCTTGAACCCCGCTGGGAAGGACCTTTTATGGTGGTGCTTGATAGGTCTGTCAAGGGGAAGAGGGGGAAGGACTGGCTGGCGGTGGTGGCTGAAAAGATAAGAAGTATAAAATATAAGTAACCTTTATTTCGGGAATGCAGGGAGAGGCACCCCCGACCCCCCGAGGCGTGGCATCTCCACCCTGGGGCCAGCAATCTCTCCCCTGAACACGTGGAGTGAGGCACATAAGTAGCCTTGGCCTGGGGTAGAACCTAGGGGGTATTAGGGATGCACAGGTAGCCCATTGGTCTTAGTTTGGCGCCAGAGGTAGGTTTCTAAGGGTGGGGGTTTAGGGTTACAGATAAATCTCTAGGGGTGGGGGAGGCAGGAGCTCGCTAATTCCGGCTGAGGCTTTTTCTGGCTATAGTGTCCGGTCTGGGCCAGCAACCCTTTCAGTGCTCAGTACTCCCATTGCAGTCAAAGTTGCTGGAAAGACTCCATAGATTCACCATACTCACGTGAAGCCACTAGAAACTACGGACGATGAGGACCTCACCCAATGGAAAGTGCACCAAACTGGTAACCCACTAAAGTTGAAGTTTATTAAGGACTCTTGATTATGCTAAGCATGCCTTTATTATGGTCTATAGTTTGTTGCTTAATTATGGTTGTACTCCCCGGAAATGGGGATTGGGTTATTTCAGATGAGAAGACAAAAAAGGAGTTGGGAAGGTCTAACAATGACTTAAACCAAATTACTCTTGACCTATGTACACTCTTTAATGGTAATCTAGTTGAGAAAATTGGCTATTCAACCAAATTCAATTATTGTGCTGACCTCCAGCAGGCCCAAATTCTGTGAAACCATTTTAAAAATGGCATCGATGGTATATCCTTATATGTATGTCCTAAAAGCCAACCAGACCCTAGTTATAATGCTTATTGTGCCTCAGACCTGAATGAACAATACTGTTATGCGTGGTCGTGTGTTACCGGAGGCCTCGGTAGATATTACCGCTCTGAAAAATATTTTATTATCAAGTGGATAGGAAATGAAAACTGTCAGACTGCTCATACCTGTAATCCTGTTCTGTTAACTTTCCTAAATCCATTAGAGCCAAAGTGGCAAGGAGATGGACTCACTTATACCATTAAGGTTTATAAAGCTGGATACGATCCAGGAAACAACATTAACATCCTGTATAAACCCCCTAGGAAAGCCCCTACAGTCATGCTTCAAAGGTCAGATCAGACCCCTCCACCTCCACTTAAAGCTTTGACGGAGGCTAGGGTATTTACAACTGTCACCAGCCCCGCCTTGATACCCTCCCCCAATGTCTTCTATATCCTCTATGGCTGATGTATTTCAACCTTTGAAAATAGTGGCCAAACTACTCAACACCTCCCTCAAGAGTAGTCTGACAACCCTATGCTGGCTGTGTTTGTCCTATAACCGCCCCCCTTTTTGAAGGATTCATTAAGGTCACTAATGAGTCATCACCTAGTGTGGCTAGGTGGGATATGTCACTCGCTCAGACCTTATGGAGAAACACCAAATTAGAAGGAGTAAGTGATACTTGCATATATCATTCCAGCAACACAGCCCCTGAATACTGTGATCCTACAAATTCTCATGGCATCACTAGGCCTGGTAATCATACCTCATAGTAGCCCCAACAAGCCATTGGTGGGCTATACTTCAGGATGGTACCCCTGCGTCACCTCAAAAAAGTTCGTTATTGACCAAGATGAAGTTTGTGTATTGACCCAAATTTTACCTAGAATTTACTGGCATCCAGAGGAAAAATAAAATAGGATCCTTATTTCTACCAACCAATGGATAAGCAAGAGAAGCCCAGTCCTTCCTATTGTAGCTGGAATTAGTATATTTTTGGCCCTTGGGCTGGGGGCCACCTCCCTGGGAGTCGGTACATATCAGTACAACTTGCTATCCCAGCAGGTAGATGAGGGGATAAAACAAATTCATGATGCTATCGAAGCTTTAGAAAGCTCGATTGACTCACTAGCTGAAGTGGCCCTTCAAAACCGCTGAGGGTTAGACCTCCTATTAGCTGAAAAAGGAGAATTATGCTTAGCTTTGGGGGAAGAACGCTGCCTATATGCTAACAAGTCTGGAATAGTAAGACAAAACTTAGCCGAACTCCAGAGGGGCCTTGAAGAAAGGAAAAAGCTAAGACAGGGAACTTCAGAATGGATGAAACAAATGTCTCCTCCTCACCATGGGTAACTAGTTTAGTAGTGACCCTAGCTGCCCTTTGTCATGATCCTACTACTAGTCACCCTAGGCCCCTGTATAATCAATAAACTGACTGCTTATATTAGACAGCAAATGCAGAGCATGAAACTGATAATGATCCATCAACAAGCCTATGAGCTTGGCCTGGGTCAAAACATCAGAGGGGAATGTTGTGGCCTAGCTCTAACCAATGCGCCTCCTTCCTGTTCTGTATGCACTGTTTCAATAAAGGTTAAAATTCCATTTCCAGTAAAGACTTAAGTTTCAGCTCCTTGTAAATCTGCCCCCCCACCCCCTTCTGCATGCTTCTGCAAGGTGTGCTGATCTGAGAAAATGTTTAACCTCAGAGAGCAACGGAATGTACTAAGAATGTTATCTGAAATAGGTTGATAGCTTTGTGGTTTTTAGCTTTAAAAACTCCACCCTTAGCCCGTGAAGCGCACAGTCTTCCATATTGGCTACCGCAAACTGCGTTGCCAGGCCTGGCCTAAAATAAAGCCTTTGCTCCAAATTTCTTAATTTCTTGCTTCCTTGTATTTTATTCCGGGGTCCGAGCTATCACAGTTTCGGAGCGGTAAAAGAGAGTTCTTAGGCAAAGAGGCTCAAACTTGGAGGGATTTCCAGGAGCCACTCACTCTGCCTTCCGGTAAGGGAACCAAATGATAGGGTTTTCAGCGTGGTAAAAATGAGAGAGAATATAAAGTAAAAATGGCCTTTATTCTAAGGACACAGAGAGAATTCCGTGACCGCCGGGGCCTGGCTTTCTCTGCTGGAAACATGGAACATGGGACATGCATATAGTTTCTGACTGGGGTTTGCACTTAGGGTGGCATTACTGATGCGTGAGCAGCTGATTGGGATTTTTTCACGCCACTAGTAGAAGGAAAAGGAGGTTGTTATAGAGGAGGAGAAAGTGACCTCAAGGTAAACATCCCTTGGTCCCGCCTCCCACTGTCGTAATATCGTATCTAGGGCAAAATCCTTTCAGAAGAAGGAAAGAAAATAAGAAAGAAAGATGCAGTTTCCAGGAAGCCATAAGTAAATGTTTTTAGATGTCCATAGTGACAGTGATACACAATGAAATCATTGGCGACAAGCCCACAGGGCTGGTGCCAGTGGAGGGAAAGGCCAGCCTCCCCTGTTGCATGTGATGATGGGTCTTTGGCCCTGTCACATCTGAGCTCGGGGTCCTCTTGGTCCTAGGGGTCGCCAGGGCCCCGGGGGTGGGGTGAGGATGCCTCTCATTTGCTGCCTCTGCCTGAGCTAGGACAATGAATCTTACCTTCTCTCTACCCTTAGGCTCCATCTCCCTGAAAGCATTCTCCCCCGCCCTGTACCCCTCACTGCCCTTAGGGTGACCCTGGCATCCAGCTCTGGTGTCCTTGGTCACCTCTGTGGGTGCCTCTTCTTTGCTCTGGGTTCTGCTGGACCTTGCAGCCCTAGCAGGAGTCATGGCTTGGCTGACAGCCACCACACATCTCCCATACTCTGGGACACTCAGGGGCTGCTGTCACTTCTCTGAGGAACCACTGCTGTTACCTTGAGTTCATCAAACCCCCTGGGCAATGAGCAACACGGATGAGCTGAGCACCGTAGCTCTGAGGACACGGCCAGAAGCCACCACTCCACCACAGCTCTGTGGAGTTGTCATCAGGCCAGCTGAGGCTGACTTGCACACTAGTGGCCTCTCCAGAGATATTTGTCTTGACCGTAGCAAGCTTTAGACATGGTCCTGTTTCTGAGGAGTGTGCCCTGCAGCCTTTCCAGGTGACCCCCACTCCCCCATCCTCACCTCTAGTTCAACCCAAATTAGGTTCAGGAGGTGCAGGAGGCTGCAGATTCCTGGCTGCTCCTTCTTTATCTGAGCAGTGCTCCCTCTGTCCTTCCCCTCCCTTTCTCTATCCCTGCTGAGGTCAGTCCAGCAGTGAGTGCTCCCTCTCCCCTTGCCCCTTCTTTCCCCTCCCTTTCCCTCCCCTCCCCTTCCCTCCCCCTCGTGCTCCCTTTCCTTGCTGAGGTCAGTTCATTCGTGCTCCTCCCAGGCTGTACTCCCTGGTGCAGCACTCAAGAAAGCCTCCTGAAGAGATACTCCTGCCCACTCAGGATTGTTCTCAGCTACAGTGTTCTGGGGAGGTGGTACTAAGAAAGAGCCGGTAACACTAGAGGGTATTAGCCCTGGGCATGATTGGCATGGGCTGCTGAAGAGCTTCATGGTCCTGCTGAGACCATGAAGACCTGTGGGGACCTGCAGAAGAGCCCCAGAGAGGTTCCCAGAGCTGCTGAAGAGCCCTAGAAAGCCACCTGAGGGGCCGCAAACTCTGCTTCATATGGGTCAGCTGAGAGCTTCCAGGAGCTGCTAACAAGGCTTGGAGCTGTGGCACTAAAAACTGTAACACTAAGAGTTAAGAGGTGCTGGCACTCACAGCCTGGAGCTGTACCCGCAAGACAGAAATTCGCTGGCACTCAGAGCCCCTGCCTTGGAGCCAACCAGTTATGGATTGACACCTCCATAAACTGGGAGCCAACACAAACCTTTCCCCTTGTAATCTGTGGGTGTCAGGTATTGTGTCTCAGTGACAAGAAAGTGACAAGATGCTCCTTTTAAAGTGTCCTGAACAAGAGGGCAGACAATGGCAATGGTGGCAGCAGTTCCAAGTGCCAGCCCATGTCTGATTTCCACCTTCCATGTGGATAAGGACGCATGTGAGCCAAGGACATGATCTGTCTCCTTTTGACTTTGACTGTTCTCAGGCTTCACCAGAAATCTTACAAGCTGATAAGGACTACTTTTTGGGTGCTGCTAAACAAGGGAAGTACTTGCTGGGGGTACTTTCTGTGGGTTTCGGTGCCTTAATGGCCCAGGGTCACACAGAGGAATTAGAAGCAGCCTCTCCTTGAAGTACCCAGACAGATGGAGGCCATGTCTTGGTGGTTTCTGGTGATGTTCTAGGTGAGCAAACAGGCAGGAACCCAGTGCCTTGGGGGCTGAGTGCAATCCCACAGTCCGGGAAACCAGGAAGGATTCTCTGAGAGAAGGCAGGTAGCCAAACCCAGAGGTGGTCAACTTCAAGGGGCAGTGAAGCCTAGCAGTTAGGCAGGTGACTGGCAGGTCTGATTGCTTCCTAACGGTAGGCTCTGGAGCACATCTTCTTGATCTCTCTGCCTCAGTTTCTCATCTGTACAATGGGGGTAACTGTGTGAAGTTTAACCACATCATCGTGCTATTAGTCACAGTGATACGACTGAATGTTCCTGGGTGGGCAGAAGGGAGAGGTCTTCCTTGGGGTCAGGAGCTACTTGAGCTAGGCAGATTCGAGGTCCTTTTCTTGTGACAGGACTAAGTCAGGGAACAGGGCTGCTGGCTCAAAGACTTCAGATGGAGCAAACCTGTTTTGCTTTCCTAGCCATGTTTTTATTTTATTTTGCACGGGGAAATAACATGCAGTTTGTGACCCATAAGGCAGGCTCAGCTGAGTGAGCGCTGAGTGACACTGAACTAGAGAGGGCATTTGTATGTTATCTGTGCCACCAGAGGATGGGGACGTGGTGAAAGGTGACAGTCATGCCAAGGCTGCCTGGGCTGCTGCTGTGGGAGGTGCAAATGCTCCACCTTGTAGAATCTCCAGGTCTTCCAGGCTCAGCCCAGCCGTAGTCCCCAAACCTCCAGGGGGATCCAGGCATGGACTGCAACACATCATGTTTAGAGGAAGCCCAGAAGTCACCACACCCCTTAATTTTTGGAGACACTCAGGGCAATATTTCAAACCCCAGGTCACCACCCAGGAACCAGTTATGAAATTAGTGAGTCATAGCATTTAAAAATATGAAACAGATCAGCACAAAAATATCAGAGCGCATTCGGTAGTCGAGGTAATTGTGATTCTGTGCCCTTCCTGTGTGTGCACGGTAGACCACAGCTCCTCCCGTGAGCCGCCCCACAGCTGTCCACGCAGATGGAACCAGAGCCCGCCTCTCCTCCCTGTCCCCTCCTCTGCCAACCAGCTGGGTGCTCTCCAGCCCTTCTAGCCGTGGGGGAGGATGAGCCTCGTTGGGTGGCTACGCAGGAAGAGAAAGTGCCATGATGTTTGACCCAGTGTTGCCCAGTGCTCCCGAGCCTGTGTGTGTGTCTGAAGTCCTCAGTCTCCTGGGGACCAAGGTCTCTGGAATGGGAGACAGGATCAGGCCAAACGGACCCTGGGGTTTCACAGCATCTCACGTTCTCTCTGCCAGGCTTGGAGCCCACGCCCAGGGTCTCTGCTGCCAAACATTCTGTCCCCTCCTTGGTTCTCCTGCTTCCTCATTTTAGGTTGCACAGGGTTGCTGGCTCTTAGAGCGGTCCCTGGGGGACACCCCCTCCCACGCCACACAGCAGGAGGGGCAGGGATGGGAGCTCCCAGCTCCCTGTGGCTCAGCAGTTTCCTCCCACAGATTGGCCCACAAGCTCTGGATGGAGTGCGTGTGTGGCTGACCTGGGGAGTCTCCCTGTAGCAGACTCCGAGACAGAGACCTGAGCGTGGACTTTAGGTCGAGCTATGCGACATTGGTCACATTACTGGTGATGTCACAGGAGTCCACTAATACTTTATTTGGGAGATGAAGGAGACATGGGCAGGAGATTGGGGAGGCGAGAGAGGGGAGCCAGCAGCCAGGAGAGGATTCAGCTCCAGCCACTCACCCCTGTGGGTGACATCTACACCGAGTGCCCTGGAGAAACTCGGGGAGTTGGTACCAAGCACACACCACAGGGTGGTTCCACCGCAGGGGCAAAGGAGGTGGGTGTTATACCTGATTGAATGGTATGGGAAACAGAATCCTCTGAAACTTCCAGCTTGTTGCGTGGGGGCAGGCGCCCAGCAGGATTGTCGTCCAGGCAGGGTGACCATCACAGCACTGAGGGTGGGACAGCGGGAAGTGAGCTTGTGGAGGTGAGGGCCGCTTGGCCTATGCTGCAGAAACTGGGCCAGCGGGTTCTTTAGGTTGCAGGCTCCAGTGTCCAAAAAAACATGACCACACTTCTCTGGAACAAGTTGCTTTCTCTTTCCAAGTCCTGTTCTACAGGATGTTGGAAACTAAATTGTAGGCAAAGTGAAGCCACCCTTTCCCAGAATTACATGGGTTCTGAGAAATGGACTGATGCTCAGGCCCAGAGGCAGAGGAGCCACCTGATTCCTGATAGTGATATTCTCCTGGGCCTCCTGGGGTCACCAGCCACACACACCACATTCCATGGTCCCCCAGCAACTTCCGGCCTGATGCTTCCTGGACGATGTGACTGGATTGCTTTTGTGCCAGGCCGGGGCATAGGTATGGAAGAAAGTTGTCACCTTAAACAAAGTAGGGGTTCTTAACTTGGGGTTCATGATGTAATTCAGGGGAATCTCTGAATTGGGATGGGAAACAATTTATATTTTTATTTCACTAACTGCTATTAAAGTTAATTTCTTCTACTCGGACTGTGGGCAACAAAACACAGTAATGTTAATAGGACCTTGCCCCAGGAATCCTGAAGTGTTCTTACCCAG